GGGGGCAAGGCAAGCTAGGTGCGCTCGCGTCATATCTGACATCCTACCCCTCCCTCCCATCCCTTACCATGGCGCAGATCCCCTCTCTACTCGCACAGTCGGATGTCGAGCAGGGCAATGATCCCGAAAGGGTACGCGATGCATTGTAGAGCACGGCATGGCATGGCGTAGAAGAGCACCGCAAAGCGTAGTATCAACCTAGCATTGCATTGCATGCCGTGGCATGGCACGGGAAATGACGCCAGCGCTGCAGCGGGAGCACGAGTCGAAACGAGTGGAAGCGCGGAAATGAGGCCAGCGCTGCAGCGGGAGCACGATTCGGAACGAGCGGAAGCACGGAAATGAGGCCAGCGCTGCAGCGGGAGCACGATTCGGAACGAGCGGGGCCCGAAAATGAGGCCGGCGCCTCAGAGAGAGCAGCATTTTGAAAAAAAATGCAGGCGACAACCCAACTCCGGGGAAACCTGTGTGTAAAAAGACAGTACGCAAGGGGGTCGAGCACTTTCAAACCGTCATCAGGGGAAGAGGGAGAGTAGTATTCATATTGAGTAATTGTAGAAGGAGGAGGAGGAGGAGGAGGAGGAGGAGGAGGAGGAGGAGGAGGAGAAAGAGGAGGAGAAAGAGGAGGAGGAGGAGGAAGAGGAGTAGGAGGAGCAGGAGGAGGAGGAGGGAGGAAGAGTTGGGTATGAGCCCTCTGGGCTCTCTGGAGGCTCTTTGGCAGAGGAAAGCGGTGAGAGGGTATAAAGATACTGAATGATCCAAACTCTCTGAGGCCTCTCTTGGAGCTTCTTTCGAGTCGTATTGTGGCAGACTGTGTGCGCTCTGGCGTTACCTTGGAGCGTGTTGGGGAATCAGCGGCAGTCTTGGCGACCTCTTGGCAATGGTCGGGCCCAATAAGGGCGACCCTAATTGGGGATCTCCCACCGATGTAATCGATCCCCAGGAGGACTCCACGAGGAACCTAAGAGAGGCCGAGGAGGCCTTTAGACGGCCTCTTGGGGTCTGATACGGCCCTCTTGGGGTGTTCTTCAAAACTTCTTGGAGGAGTGCCGCTGGAAGCCGTTTGAAGCCTTCTGGGGGGGGCTCCTTGGGCCTCATGGGGGCCAACTTGGGGGGCGGGGTCCTTTGAACTTCCCATCGTGAGATCCTCTTGGGCCCTTCTTGGAAGCAGCTTGGGCCGTCGTGGGGGTCTTTTAAGACGTATTGAAGATGTCTTGGAATGAGTTGGAACGCTCTATGGCCCTCTTGGGCTGTCTCGGGCCAATGTTGGGGGGGGGGGGGGGGGGCTTCTTGGGCCAATTCAGAAGCAACCAAAAAAAACTAAACACTGAAATCGCTGGACATCCTTACTGAAATGAATCAACGCTGACTCTGGATGCCCTCATGGGGGTCCTCTTGCAGCCGTCGTGGGGCGTAAGACGATATCTTGCAGGCGTCTGGGCCGAGCTCGTACCGTCTTGAGCAAGTATGGGCTGTCTTGGGGGTATCTTGGCGCTGGCTTCATGACGTCGAAGGCCGTCTTCACCCATCTCGGAGGTGAAAGAGTCCCGCAAAGGTCCGAAAATAGGCCCTGGACGGGGGGGGGAATTCGGCACGCTGGGGATTGGGGCAGCTTCGATGAAGAGAGCAGATACTGGGCCGAAGGGGGGGCAGTCGCCGCTTATTGCTGTTCTCTATACGTGCATGTAGATTCGAACTATCAGCACCTGTACACAATTTTACATATGCATATATACACACATATAACCAAAGGTATAGCATAGACGATTCATGTGCAAATATGCATGTATACATACATACAGCCATCCATAAATACCTACAACCTAAATACATGTAGAGATATGTGTATGTGCATCGTCCCCCCCTCTACCAGCATCCACCGACGACAGCATTCCTCATCGCCGCGTGCGTCTTCACCGCATCATCATCCTCGTCCGTCTCGTCCTCACCTTCCTCCTCCTCGCCTTCCTCATCGTCCTCCTCCTCCCCCGCAATGCCAGGAGCGCGACAGGAAAGCAGGAAATCATGGTGCTTGTCAGTAGTCGAGCTGAAAAGGATTGTGCTGTGCATCGCGCGAGCTTCGCGGGCTTCGCGGGCTTAGGTTCTAGCCACGCACAAGGCACTGGCATCGAAAGTTGTCAGTGAGGACTGCACGGATGATTCGGGAGTTCCGTCGGGGTTGGTAGTGATACATGCGCCAAACCCATTTGGAAGCCTGGCGACGTGTTCTTGAGTTTAGGGGCTTCTTCAATGCTTGTTGCGTTTCTATGGATCCGCCCTGGGACTGGAGGAAAGCTGAACGAAGAGGAGGGGTGCCCGAGTCTGGCTCCGTAATACACGCCACCAGGGCCCAACCACGCTGTATCGAAGGCCACCCCTCCCTCCAGGCCGCGCATCTGGGGCCAAAGATCAGCGCAACGAATATTAAACAAACCCCCAAGCCGCATCGGCAGGCATCAGTGGGGAGCTTCCTGGCCACTTCAAGCGTCTCTGACTCGTCTTGGAGCCTCTTGGACGCATGCTGAAGATGCCGTCTTGGGGGTCTTCTGGGGCAGGGCCCCCTTGGAAGTCTCTTGGGGGGTGGGGCTGGTTTAGGGGCTCTTGGACTGTCTTGGGGCCCTCTTGGGGCCGCTTGGGCCCGTCTTAGGCCCGTCTTGCGCCCCTCTAGACTCCCTCTTTGGCCGTCCTTCTCGGAGCCCTCTGGGGCGTCGTCGGGTTCTCATGGGTTCTTCTTTGGGCTCTCTTGGGGACCATTTGGGCAACATTGAAATCGTTTTGTGGCCTCTTGGCTCGTCATGGGCGCCCTGACGAGCGGAAAAGCGAACAAGCGAAAAACCATGCTGGCCGCCTGGCGGCGGGCTGCTACCGCTGCTGCGGGGCGACGTCGAGCCTGCCCAAGCTGCGGGATGCCCTCCCGCCAGCGAATCGCGCGGCCCAAAGTGATGCGGAGAAGGAGGAGGAGGAGGAGGACGACGAGGAAGAGGAGGAGGAGGAGGACGACGAGGACGAGGAGGAGGAGAGGGAGGGAGGGAGGGAGGGAGGGAGGGGAGGAGGAGGAGGAGGAGGAGGAGGACGAGGAGGAGGAGGAGGAGGGAGGAGGAGGTGGAGGAGGAGGGGGAGGAGGAGAGGAGGAGGAGGAGGAGGAGGAGGAGAGAGGAGGAAGAGGAGGAGGAGGAGGAGGAGGCGGAGGGGGAGGAGAAGGAGGAGGTGGAGGAGGAGAAAGGAAGAAGGAGGAGGAGGAGGAGGAAGAGCGGCGGGGAGGCCAAGACGAACATGCCACGGCACAGAGCAGGGAGGGAGGGAGGGAGGGAGGAAAGGAGGGAGGTCAAAGAACGGCGGTAACACACGCCGATCGCGCCACGGCACAGAATCTGGCCACTGCGGAACCCGGCACCCCAAGCTGCGTCGCAGCCCGGGCCCTCCAAAAAGCTCCTGCTCGCCCCGCGGCGGGGAGGCGTCGAAACTGCCCCCGCTGTGGGCTGCCCTCCAGCCGTCGAATCGGAGGAGGAGGACCAGTGTAAACCCAAAAAGCATCAACGATGTTGCAAGAAACTCTCCCTCCAAGTTCACATGTCATAGGTCCCTAAGAATGCATGTTCATTGCGGGAGGTGGCCCATTAGAAGACAACCATCCTGCCAAATCAACGTTCCTGGATCTTCAACGCCGCGGATCAACATGACTGTTGCGTCATGACAAACCCAAGTCGCGCCAGAACACTTTCCCTGGCACTTCGACACCGCGAGTCAACGTAACTGTCGCGCCATGACAAGTTCAAATCGTGCCAGAACAACATGTCTGGGACTTCAACGATACGAATCGTTGACACTGTCGCAAGCATGTATGTAAGACGAATGTGCGCGGCGCTAAGGCGATTGCCACATTTTGAACAGGAACAGCCCTCCATCCTTGAAATCCCACCAGCCCTCTGGGCGTAGATGGTTTACCGAACTTTGTCTTCTCTCTGCCAAAACCCCTCCTTCCCCTGCTCGTGACGGGGTGCTATCCCTCCCCCCACCCCTCCCCTGAGCCTGGGAGGGGGGGGAACCGGGTACTTAGAGCGCACAAGATGGCTCCAAGAGGGCCTCAGAGAGCCCAAGATGGCCTCTAAGAAGACTCAAGATACCTCAAGATGGTTAAAGTGCCCTCCGAGCCCTCCAAGGACCCCCCAAGAGACCACAATCATTCAACAACCTAGGGGAAATCGATGCTTTTTGCCTTCTCGCCTTTTCGCTTCCAATGGGCTCTTGAGGCCTCGAGATGGCCCCAAGACGGCCCAAGAGAGCCCAAAGAGAGGCCCAAGAGAGGCCCAAGAGACCCAAGAGGGCCCCCACAAGCGCCCAAGAGCGCTCCAAGAGCGCCCCAAGAGGGCCCCAACACGCCCATTTTGAGCCTCCGCCCCTTTTAGAGCCATGAGGCCTAGGAGGCCTCCCAGACTCCTCCAAGGAGCCCCAAGAGGGCCCCAAGACCCCCAAAATGAACCACAAGAGGGCCCAAAGAGTGGCCCAAGAGGCCCCACAGGGGGCCCTCCGAGAGCCCCATAAGCTCAGGATAGCCTCCGACAGACTCTAGCCGAACATGGCTCAAGATAGCCTCCAAGAGGCCTCAAGAAAGCCTCCGATCATGTCTGGATGGGCTGGTTAGGATACGTGAAGCGCCAAGAATTGCTGCAAACGTTGAAAGAGAATGCGCCTGGCTCTAAGGCGAAAATCACATGTTGAATAGAGAGACCGCCCTCTACCCTTGAAACTATTGCAAAGTGTTAGACGATTGTGCGAGGTGGTCAGGCGAGAGCCACATGTTGAAGAAGACCTGTCCTCCATCCGTGAAACTGGTGCAAACTTCTAAGACGAATGCACGCGGCGCTACAGCGAGAACCACACGTTGAAAACCACCCGCCCTCCATCCGTGAAACTGTGGCTCAGTTCAAGCTTCAGGGTCACAAATTGGGAGGAAGTCTCAGACAAAAGGCCTAGCCCGCCCTACTCACACGTCCGGGGGTGCGACACGGAGGAGCTCTTTATTCGGCGGCGGACAAACCTCCCTTTTAGTAAGCCACCCTTTACTGAAAACGGCCTTGGACCGAAGCCGACGGACCTGGACCCGCAAAAATGACGGCCGCGACGCCCCCTCGCGAACCGAGAACGGCCAATTCCTTAATCGACGTGTCAAGGCAGGAGGTCTATCCATTACCAGCCTCGAACGTATCCCTATCCCTAAGATTGACACGCCAAAAGGCGAAGACAATCTTAGGGATTCGCCCTCAAAAAATAAGGGAATCCCTAAGATTGGCATCGTTATGACGAGGTGCCCAGCATAGGGATAGGGATATGTTCCAGGCTGGTAAATCCACCCCCGAGAGGAATGGAGGCAAGAAGGGCTCCTGACCTGGACCTCGGAAGGGTCGCGCGGCGGAGAGGCCGCGCCGATCACGTCACGGCAGAGAACATGGCCAGGACGAGAAGGACGAGGAGGAAGGGGAGGAGGAGGAGGAGGACAAGAAGGAGGGGGAGGAGGGGGGGGAGGGGGAGGAGGGAAGGCTAGGTGCGCTCGCGTCATATCTGACATCCTAATTACCCCTCCCTCCCATCCCTTACCATGGCGCAGATCCCCTCTCCACTCGCACAGTCGGATGTCAGGCAGGGCGATGATCCCGAAAAGGTACGCGATGCATTGTAGAGCACGGCATGGCATGGCGTAGAAGAGCACCGCGAAGCGTAGTGTCAACCTGGCATTGCATTGCATGCCGTAGCATGGCACGGGAAATGACGCCAGCGCTGCAGCGGGAGCACGATTCGGAACGAGCGGGAGCACGGAAATGAGGCCAGCGCTGCAGCGGGAGCACGATTCGGAACGAGCGGAAACACGGAAATGAGGCCAGCGCTGCAGCGGGAGCACGATTCGGAACGAGCGGGAGCACGGAAATGAGGCCAGCGCTGCAGCGGGAGCACGATTCGGAACGAGCGGAAACACGGAAATGAGGCCAGCGCTGCAGCGGGAGCACGATTCGGAACGACCGGGCCCGAAAATGAAGCCGGCGCCTCAACGAGAGCAGCATTTTGGGAAAAATTGCTAGCGAAAACCTAACTCTGGGGAAGGCTTCCCGGGCGCCAGAAGCAGAAATTCAGCATTTCCAATAGAAAAAAAAAAAAATGGCCTTTTTTCGGCGCCGCCTCGGAACTCGATTTTCCGGCGCCGGCCGGAACCGGCTCCGGACTCGGCCCGGGCGCCGGCCAAGGCGCCGGCTCGGGCGTCCGGCCCGGGCGCCGGCTCGGGCGCCGGCCTGGGCGTCGGAATCGGCCCGGGCGCCGGAAGAAGAAATTCAGCATTCTCAAAAGGAAATGTGTATTAGAATAGCCTTTTTTCGGCGCCGCCTCGGAACTCGATTTTCCGGCGCCCGCCGGAACCGGCTCCGGACCCGGCCGGGGCGCCGGCCCGGGCGCCGGCTCGGGTGTGCAGCCCGGGCGCCGGCGGAAATGATGCCAGCGCTGCAGCGGGAGCACGATTCGGAACGAGCGGGGCCCGAAAATGAGGCCGGCGCCTCAGCGAGAGCAGCATTTTTGAAAAAATGCAAGCGAAAACCCAACTCCGGGGAAACCTGTGTAAAAAAAACAGTACGCGGGGGGGGGGGGGGGGGGGGGGGGGGCGATATTCCCAAGACGTCATCAGGGGAAGAGGGAGAGTAGTATTCATATTGAGTAATTGTGGAGGGGAGGAGGAGGAGGAGGAGGAGGAGGAGGAGGGGAGGAGGAGGAGGAGGGGAGGAGGAGGAGGAGGAGGAGGAGGAGGAGGAGGGGAGGAGGAGGACGGAACCCGGCACCCAAGCTGTGCCGAAGCTCGGGGCCTCCAAAAAGTTCCTGGTCGCCCAGCGGCGCGCTGCCGCCGCCACACGGAGAAGGCAGGAGCTGTACGCCCTCGCGCGCCTTGCTGGGTCCCGGCGCAGACGGCGCCAGAGAACGGAAAAACTGCGAGGCGGGGATTTATCCATATCCACCGCCTGGGAAGCGACGTCCTGGTGCCCCAGCGGGCGGCGGATATGGATATATTTCGGCCCCCAGGGGCCCGAATATGTCCACATCAACCGCCTGCCGAAGCTCCGAAAACTGACCCTCCAGGCGGTGGTCATTTATAAATTCCCGCCTCGGGAAAACGAGCTGATGTACGCTCGCCACGGGGGCGTGACCGGCCCCGTGACACGCTCTGGCGAGCGGCCAAAGGCCCCCGATCTTTTTGGGCCTCCCACGCTGGGGATGCAGGACCGTCAAAGACCTGCGCAGCCCGTGCTGCGCAGACTCGCCTCCAGCACCAGAGCAGGAACAGGAAAGAGGAATACAGTGGAGGCCAGTCCACAAGAAACCTTCCACAAGAAACCCAACCCTGAGACCCCAGGACGCCCGCGGACTTTGGTGTGGGAACGTCACACGCCTTCAATGTCAAGACCATCGAAACCCAAGAGACCCAGGGCACCCTGGGGGCGAGCAGGGCATTTCTTGGCATGGGCCCCCACTGTAGGAGCGCGAGATCCAGGGAGGCGGCGCGCCCCGGAAGTAAACTCGCCGCCACACGGCGGACTTGTTCTAGGTCGGGCCTGTCCCCCTACAGACGCATCTTGGGCGAAAAATCAGAAATACTCCAAAAATGCACCACAATTGTCACAAAATGCTCAAAAGATCGTCCCCAGACTATCTCCTAACTATCTTTAAAGATTCCTCCTGTAGAGGCACAAGCCCGACTTAAGACTTGCTCGCCCGCTGCCTGCGTGAGCGGGCGGGCTCGCGGCCGCCTCTGCCTGCGCCCCGGCCGCCGTGGCCCAACGGCTCCTCCAGGGCGGGCGAGGTACTCAGAACCCGAGCTTCCTCGCAAGTCTGGAGGAGGGGGAGCTGAAGGAGGAGGAGGAGGAGGAGGAGGAGGAGGAGGAGGAGGAGGAGGGGGAGGAGGGGGAGGAGGGAGGAGGACGAGGAAGAGGAGGAGGAGAGGTGGAGGAGGAGGAGGAGGAGGAGGAGGAGGAGGAGGGAGGAGGGGGGGGGAGGAGGGGGAGGAGGGGGAGGAGGAGGACGAGGAGGAGGAGGACGGAGGAGGAGGAGGAGGAGGGAGGAGGAGGAGGAGGGGCCATCGGGGGCCCGAACCGCGGCTCCCCCTCCCCGGCGGAGGGCCGCCGCGCGGGCCGGCCCCAGGCGCGTGCGTTCGCAGGACCTGCCGACCGCGCCGCGATGGAGCCTCGTCATGTGGCACGGCCCTGGCAGGACGCTCATGGTGCCTCGCTAGGCACGCAGAGCGTGGAGCCTGTGCAGCAGCAACAGCAGCAACAGCAGACGAACCTCTGGGCTCAACAGGTCCGCCTCGCGCGGAAAGCGCGCCAGGTGGCGGCGCAGCGAGCAGCGAGCCATCAATTGCAGTCTCAACGTCAACTCATTTCCGATCTGCAGTGCCAACTGCGAGCGTGGCACCAGTGGTGGCAACAAGCGCATCACGAGCCTGTTTGGGGACAGCGCTGGATGCCACACGCCATCAGCTACAGCACCGAAGCGGACGACCCCCGCAGGAAAGGGGGGGCGTCGCCCCAGGCAGCTGGCGGAAACAACGGCAGTGGCAGCAGCGGTCAGGAATCAAGAAACAATGGCATGGCTCAAACAACACTTTGGCTCAAACACAACATCTTGGATGTCACAAGCCACTATGAGGACAGTGCTTAGACGCCATCGCAGACACATCATTGCGAGAAGCGCGCGGCGAGGTCGAAGCCCGTCACCACTAACCTATCCCTGGACCCAGCCATGTGCGAGACGAAGGAAGGCGAAGATGGAGCCCGATGCGATCCTCTACGGTTCAGGGATCAGGGCAAGCTTGAGGCGACCTCGGGAATTGGCGCTAGGAAGGGAGTACAGTCGTCATCAGCTGCAGGCGCGGCCGCCCGTGCGCTTGACGTGGCGCCAGCACCAGCGCCAGCGAAGCTGGAGGGCGATGACACAAGCCATCTGGAGGACAGAGCCCAGACGCCATCGCAGACACATCATTGCGAGAAGCAGGCGGCGAGGCTGTAGCCCCTCACTACTAACCTAGCCGAGGACCCAGCCAACACGCGCGAGACGAAGGAAAGCGAAGATGGAGCCCGATGTGATCCTCTACGATTCAGGGGTCAGGGCAAATGCGAAGCGAGGGGGACGGCAGCGGCAGCGGCAGCGTGCAAGAGCGGCAGCATCACTGCGCCATCAGTTACAGGCGCTGTGCGAGAAGAGACGGCAGTGGCAGCGGACTTGCTTCGGGCCGTGCGAGAGCACACCATATCAATATCCATCGAGGGGTATGATGACAACTTCCCTCGGGAGCACAATATCAGCGGCGACGACAGGCAATTCCTAAACTTCGTGCAAGAAAATACAGGGGTGACCCTGCAGCTGAACAGTTACCCGTGCGTAGGCTGCGAGCTGGTCATCGCAGCGACGGCTGGGACAAGCAACGCGGACTTCGAAAGGGCCCTAGAGATATGCCACGACCTCGTCGACCGCACCTACCAGGAGGCCGCCGGTTGGGACGGCACCGTTTGGGACGATGAGTGCAAAAGCGACCCTGAGGACATCGGCCCAGCGACACAGAGAGCCACACCACCGACAGCGAGTACGACGGCGAGACCACGTACACGGAGTACGACGACACCCCTGCAGGGCGAGGGGGTAGGCCCTACGGCGACACCCCTGCAGGGCGAGGGGGTAGGCCCTACTCCGGAGGCCGCGGCCACCCCGGCAGGGCGAGGGGGTAGGCCCATGGTCGTCGCTCTCGCCTTCGGCACCTTCGGCTGGAGGCTCGCAGACGCCACCCCTGCAGGGCGGGGGGGTAGGCCCAGGCGCGGCGTTCGGCGACTTCGGCAACCACAGGGAGTACTTCATCCGAGAGGTGGGGGAGGAGGTGGACCCCCCCTCAAGGCCACGGTCTCTCGGAGACCATCGGGCCGAGATCGTAAGGAGTCGTAAGGAGGAGGAGGAGGAGGAGGAGGAGGAGGAGGAGGAGGAGGAGTAGGAGGAGGGGCAGGAGGGGGAGGAGGGGCAGGAGGGGGAGCAGTGTCATCACCTACGTCTGCGATCAGGTGGAGCAGTGTCCCAAACTGCGATCAGGCAGTAGGGGGAGGAGGAGGAGGCTCCAAAACCTGCCATCACCTACGTCTGCGATCGGGTGGAGCAGTGTCCCAAATTCGACGGCCGTGTCAGTGCACACCAAGGGCGGCACGAGCAGAGAACGTGAGTTGCACCAAGTTCTGGCGCGTATCCTACACGATGGCGTGCCACCCCTCGATGCTCTCGCAGTGCTTGCACGCAGGGTTTCTTACTTGTTCTGCTCAGGAACCGTGGCCGGTCCTGGCTGCCCCGTGGCCGCCCAACGCAGCTGGCATCTCATGCCTCGTACCACACAGCTGGCACCGCATGGCGTGCGCCACGGAACTGACACCACATAGCTTGCACTACACAGCTTGCACCTCCCAGCGTGCACCATATCCCTGCCACCACGTAGCTAACATTAAGTCGGGCCTGTCCTCCTACAGGGGGATTTTGGGCAAACAAACATGATCGGCAAATCGTCCCCAGACTATTTTTGGACTACCTTTGAATACTCCTCCTGTAGAGGGACACGCCCGACTTAAAGCTAACACCACGTAGATTGCACCCCATAGCCTACACCAGATAGCTTGCACGACACAGCGTACACACCCATAGCGCAACAGCTCACATCATACCAATTTGAACGCACGAAACGGGTACGGAAAGAATGGGTACAATGCCCAACAACAAATGTTGTCCCAAACCAACAGCGGCCGCTGTTGGGCAGGCGGCCTTCTGTCTCCAATTGGACACAGGCCGCGGCCCGCGGCGACACCGACAGCGAGCACTGTCCAAAATGAACAGGACCTGCTGTTGGGCATTGCACCCATTCTTTCGGCTGTGGACAAACCTCCCTTCAGTAAACCTCCCCTTAGTGAAAACGGCCTGGGACCGAAACCGACGGACCTGGACCCGCAAAAACGACGGCCGCGACGCCCTCTCGCGAACCGAAAACGGCCAATTCGCTAATCGACGTGTCAGGGCAGGAGGTCCATCCACCCCCGAGAGGAAATGGAGGCAAGTAAGGCGCCTGACCTGGACCTCAGAAGGGTCGCGCGGCAGAGAGGCCGCGCCGATCACGTCACGGCAGAGACCATGGCCAGGACGAGGAGGACGAGGAGGAGGGGGAGGACGAGGAGGAGGGGGAGGACGAGGAGGAGGAGGAGGAGGAGGAGGAGGAGGAGGAGGAGGGCATTGGGCGGGGCGTGTCGAGGCTTTCCGCGGTACCGCCCGCGGCCGCCTCGTGGCCGCCTCGTTTCCGCGGAGTCGGCACGGCGAGGGTCCGCCGCGCTGCCGCCTCGTGGCCGCCTCGTGGCCGCCTCGTGGCCGCCTCGTGTTCGCTGGGTCGGCACGGCGAGGGTCCGCCGCGCTGCCGCCCCGCGGCCGCCTCGTGGCCGCCTCGTTTTCGCTGGGTGGCCACGGCGAGGGCTCGCCGTGCTGCCGCCTCGCGGCCGCCTCGTGGCCGCCTCGTTTTCGCTGGGTGGCCATGGCGACCACGCTGGTGAGCGCTTTCTCACTCGGCGTTTCGACGTTGGGCGGAGAGGGGGAGGAGGGGGGAGGAGTCTGGCTCCGGACCTCTGCTGCGTGCGACCGGTTGCAAGCAGTGCGTCCTGTGGGGGAGACTCCACCTGCTCGAAGCAGGCGCCAGAAACAGCCAAGATTCACTCCATGGGGGGGGGGCAGGGGGGGGTGCGAGGGTCCGCGCCGATCGGCAAAACAATGAATGAGAAAACAACGGCTTGCTGCCTCGTGGCTGCCTCGTGGCCGCCTCGTGGCCGCCGCCTCGTGGCCACCTCGTGCGCTGGATGGGTCCGGCGAGGTTACGCCACGTTGCCGCCAGTGGCCGCCTCGTGGCGGCCTCATGCGCCGGTTGAGTGCGGCGAGGGTTCGCCATGTTGCCGCTCGTGGCCGCCTCGTGCGCAGGTGGGTCTGGCGAGGCTTCGCCACGTTGCCGACCGCAGCCGCATTTCTAAGCAATTGGTGCCCATACCTTGCACCACATCCCTTGCACTACATGCCTTCCACCAGATAGCGAGCGCACTGGCCTCAGCCTCAGCCTGCCTCGGCCGCAGCATCAGCCTGCCTCAGCATTCAAAATGTGGCCCAGGAATGGAATTCTGGGAACTAGAAGAACACGAAGTGGCCTACAGTTGGCTCCGGGCATTCAAAATCATGCCCAGGAGTGGTCTGGGAACTCGAAGAGCACGAAGTGGCCTACAGTTGGCTCCGGGCATTCAAAATGTGGCCCGGGAATGGAGTTCTGGGAACTCGAAGAGCACGAAGTGGCCTACAGTTGGCTCCGGGTATCCAAAATGTGGCCCGGGAATGGAGCTCTGGGAACTCGAAGAGCACGAAGTGGCCTACAGTTGGCTCCGGGCATCCAAAATGCGGCCCGGGAATGGAGTTCTGGGAGGTCGAAGAGCACGAAGTGTGTGACTGTTGGCTCCAGGCATCCAAAATGCGGCCCGGGAATGGAGTTCTGGGAGGTCGAAGAGCACGAAGTGTGTGACTGTTGGCTTACAACGAGCCCGGCTCTGTTCCCGGCCCTCCTCCCCGGCACCCGCCCAGACCCCCCTGTGGAGTCCAGATGCTATCTTTTGACCCCACTAGAAACCTATCAGCAAAAGCTGTTAGGTAAAATGCAAGCGAAAACCCAACTCCGGGGAAACCTGTGTAAAAAAACAGTACGCGGGGGGGGGGGGGGGCGAATATTCCCAAGACCGTCCTCAGGGGAAGAGGGAGAGTAGTATTCATATTGAGTAATTGTGGAGGGGAGGAGGAGGAGGAGGAGGAGGAGGAGGAGGAGGAGGAGGAGGAGGAGGAGGAGGAGGAGGAGGAGGAGGAGGAGGAGGAGGGGAGGAGGAGGACGGAACCCGGCACCCAAGCTGTGCCGAAGCTCGGGGCCTCCAAAAAGTTCCTGGTCGCCCAGCGGCGCGCTGCCGCCGCCACACGGAGAAGGCAGGAGCTGTACGCCCTCGCGCGCCTTGCTGGGTCCCGGCGCAGACGGCGCCAGAGAACAGAAAAACTGCGAGGCGGGGATTTATCCATATCCACCGCCTGGGAAGCGACGTCCTGGTGCCCCAGCGGGCGGCGGATATGGATATATTTCGGCCCCCAGGGGCCCGAATATGTCCATATCAACCGCCTGCCGAAGCTCCGAAAACTGACCCTCCAGGCGGTGGTCATTTATAAATTCCCGCCTCGGGAAAACGAGCTGATGTACGCTCGCCACGGGGGCGTGACCGGCCCCGTGACACGCTCTGGCGAGCGGCCAAAGGCCCCCGATCTTTTTGGGCCTCCCACGCTGGGGATGCAGGACCGTCAAAGACCTGCGCAGCCCGTGCTGCGCAGACTCGCCTCCAGCACCAGAGCAGGAACAGGAAAGAGGAATACAGTGGAGGCCAGTCCACAAGAAACCTTCCACAAGAAACCCAACCCTGAGACCCCAGGACGCCCGCGGACTTTGGTGTGGGAACGTCACACGCCTTCAATGTCAAGACCATCGAAACCCAAGAGACCCAGGGCACCCTGGGGGCGAGCAGGGCATTTCTTGGCATGGGCCCCCACTGTAGGAGCGCGAGATCCAGGGAGGCGGCGCGCCCCGGAAGTAAACTCGCCGCCACACGGCGGACTTGTTCTAGGTCGGGCCTGTCCCCCTACAGACGCATCTTGGGCGAAAAATCAGAAATACTCCAAAAATGCACCACAATTGTCACAAAATGCTCGAAAGATCGTCCCCAGACTATCTCCTAACTATCTTTAAAGATTCCTCCTGTAGAGGCACAAGCCCGACTTAAGACTTGCTCGCCCGCTGCCTGCGTGAGCGGGCGGGCTCGCGGCCGCCTCTGCCTGCGCCCCGGCCGCCGTGGCCCAACGGCTCCTCCAGGGCGGGCGAGGTACTCAGAACCCGAGCTTCCTCGCAAGTCTGGAGGAGGGGGAGCTGAAGGAGGAGGAGGAGGAGGAGGAGGAGGAGGAGGAGGAGGAGGAGGGGGAGGAGGGGGAGGGAGGGGGAAGGAGGGGGAGGAGGAGAGGAGGAGGAGGAGGAGGAGGGAGGAGAGGAGGAGGAGGAGGAGGAGGAGGAGGAGGAGGAGGAGGGGCCATCGGGGGCCCGAACCGCGGCTCCCCCTCCCCGGCGGAGGGCCGCCGCGCGGGCCGGCCCCAGGCGCGTGCGTTCGCAGGACCTGCCGACCGCGCCGCGATGGAGCCTCGTCATGTGGCACGGCCCTGGCAGGACGCTCATGGTGCCTCGCTAGGCACGCAGAGCGTGGAGCCTGTGCAGCAGCAACAGCAGCAACAGCAGACGAACCTCTGGGCTCAACAGGTCCGCCTCGCGCGGAAAGCGCGCCAGGTGGCGGCGCAGCGAGCAGCGAGCCATCAATTGCAGTCTCAACGTCAACTCATTTCCGATCTGCAGTGCCAACTGCGAGCGTGGCACCAGTGGTGGCAACAAGCGCATCACGAGCCTGTTTGGGGACAGCGCTGGATGCCACACGCCATCAGCTACAGCACCGAAGCGGACGACCCCCGCAGGAAAGGGGGGGCGTCGCCCCAGGCAGCTGGCGGAAACAACGGCAGTGGCAGCAGCGGTCAGGAATCAAGAAACAATGGCATGGCTCAAACAACACTTTGGCTCAAACACAACATCTTGGATGTCACAAGCCACTATGAGGACAGTGCTTAGACGCCATCGCAGACACATCATTGCGAGAAGCGCGCGGCGAGGTCGAAGCCCGTCACCACTAACCTATCCCTGGACCCAGCCATGTGCGAGACGAAGGAAGGCGAAGATGGAGCCCGATGCGATCCTCTACGGTTCAGGGATCAGGGCAAGCTTGAGGCGACCTCGGGAATTGGCGCTAGGAAGGGAGTACAGTCGTCATCAGCTGCAGGCGCGGCCGCCCGTGCGCTTGACGTGGCGCCAGCACCAGCGCCAGCGAAGCTGGAGGGCGATGACACAAGCCATCTGGAGGACAGAGCCCAGACGCCATCGCAGACACATCATTGCGAGAAGCAGGCGGCGAGGCTGTAGCCCCTCACTACTAACCTAGCCGAGGACCCAGCCAACACGCGCGAGACGAAGGAAAGCGAAGATGGAGCCCGATGTGATCCTCTACGATTCAGGGGTCAGGGCAAATGCGAAGCGAGGGGGACGGCAGCGGCAGCGGCAGCGTGCAAGAGCGGCAGCATCACTGCGCCATCAGTTACAGGCGCTGTGCGAGAAGAGACGGCAGTGGCAGCGGACTTGCTTCGGGCCGTGCGAGAGCACACCATATCAATATCCATCGAGGGGTATGATGACAACTTCCCTCGGGAGCACAATATCAGCGGCGACGACAGGCAATTCCTAAACTTCGTGCAAGGAAATACAGGGGTGACCCTGCAGCTGAACAGTTACCCGTGCGTAGGCTGCGAGCTGGTCATCGCAGCGACGGCTGGGACAAGCAACGCGGACTTCGAAAGGGCCCTAGAGATATGCCACGACCTCGTCGACCGCACCTACCAGGAGGCCGCCAGTTGGGACGGCACCGTTTGGGACGATGAGTGCAAAAGCGACCCTGAGGACATCGGCCCAGCGACACAGAGAACCACACCACCGACAGCGAGTACGACGGCGAGACCACGTACATGGAGTACGACGACACCCCTGCAGGGCGAGGGGGTAGGCCCTACGGCGACACCCCTGCAGGGCGAGGGGGTAGGCCCTACTCCGGAGGCCGCGGCCACCCCGGCAGGGCGAGGGGGTAGGCCCATGGTCGTCGCTCTCGCCTTCGGCACCTTCGGCTGGAGGCTCGCAGACGCCACCCCTGCAGGGCGGGGGGGTAGGCCCAGGCGCGGCGTTCGGCGACTTCGGCAACCACAGGGAGTACTTCATCCGAGAGGTGGGGGAGGAGGTGGACCCCCCCTCAAGGCCACGGTCTCTCGGAGACCATCGGGCCGAGATCGTAAGGAGTCGTAAGGAGGAGGAGGAGGAGGAGGAGGAGGAGGAGGAGGAGGAGGAGTAGGAGGAGGGGCAGGAGGGGGAGGAGGGGCAGGAGGGGGAGCAGTGTCATCACCTACGTCTGCGATCAGGTGGAGCAGTGTCCCAAACTGCGATCAGGCAGTAGGGGGAGGAGGAGGAGGCTCCAAAACCTGCCATCACCTACGTCTGCGATCGGGTGGAGCAGTGTCCCAAATTCGACGGCCGTGTCAGTGCACACCAAGCGGCACGAGCAGAGAACGTGAGTTGCACCAAGTTCTGGCGCGTATCCTACACGATGGCGTGCCACCCCTCGATGCTCTCGCAGTGCTTGCACGCAGGGTTTCTTACTTGTTCTGCTCAGGAACCGTGGCCGGTCCTGACTGCCCCGTGGCCGCCCAACGCAGCTGGCATCTCATGCCTCGTACCACACAGCTGGCACCGCATGGCGTGCGCCACGGAACTGACACCACATAGCTTGCACTACACAGCTTGCACCTCCCAGCGTGCACCATATCCCTGCCACCACGTAGCTAACATTAAGTCGGGCCTGTCCTCCTACAGGGGGATTTTGGGCAAACAAACATGATCGGCAAATCGTCCCCAGACTATTTTTGGACTACCTTTGAATACTCCTCCTGTAGAGGGACACGCCCGACTTAAAGCTAACACCACGTAGATTGCACCCCATAGCCTACACCAGATAGCTTGCACGACACAGCGTACACACCCATAGCGCAACAGCTCACATCATACCAATTTGAACGCACGAAACGGGTACGGAAAGAATGGGTACAATGCCCAACAACAAATGTTGTCCCAAACCAACAGCGGCCGCTGTTGGGCAGGCGGCCTTCTGTCTCCAATTGGACACAGGCCGCGGCCCGCGGCGACACCGACAGCGAGCACTGTCCAAAATGAACAGGACCTGCTGTTGGGCATTGCACCCATTCTTTCGGCTGTGGACAAACCTCCCTTCAGTAAACCTCCCCTTAGTGAAAACGGCCTGGGACCGAAACCGACGGACCTGGACCCGCAAAAACGACGGCCGCGACGCCCTCTCGCGAACCGAAAACGGCCAATTCGCTAATCGACGTGTCAGGGCAGGAGGTCCATCCACCCCCGAGAGGAAATGGAGGCAAGTAAGGCGCCTGACCTGGACCTCAGAAGGGTCGCGCGGCAGAGAGGCCGCGCCGATCACGTCACGGCAGAGACCATGGCCAGGACGAGGAGGACGAGGAGGAGGGGGAGGACGAGGAGGAGGGGGAGGACGAGGAGGGGGAGGAGGAGGAGGAGGAGGAGGAGGAGGAGGAGGAGGAGGAGGAGGAGGGCATTGGGCGGGGCGTGTCGAGGCTTTCCGCGGTACCGCCCGCGGCCGCCTCGTGGCCGCCTCGTTTCCGCGGAGTCGGCACGGCGAGGGTCCGCCGCGCTGCCGCCTCGTGGCCGCCTCGTGGCCGCCTCGTGGCCGCCTCGTGTTCGCTGGGTCGGCACGGCGAGGGTCCGCCGCGCTGCCGCCCCGCGGCCGCCTCGTGGCCGCCTCGTTTTCGCTGGGTGGCCACGGCGAGGGCTCGCCGTGCTGCCGCCTCGCGGCCGCCTCGTGGCCGCCTCGTTTTCGCTGGGTGGCCATGGCGACCACGCTGGTGAGCGCTTTCTCACTCGGCGTTTCGACGTTGGGCGGAGAGGGGGAGGAGGGGGGAGGAGTCTGGCTCCGGACCTCTGCTGCGTGCGACCGGTTGCAAGCAGTGCGTCCTGTGGGGGAGACTCCACCTGCTCGAAGCAGGCGCCAGAAACAGCCAAGATTCACTCCATGGGGGGGGGGCAGGGGGGGGTGCGAGGGTCCGCGCCGATCGGCAAAACAATGAATGAGAAAACAACGGCTTGCTGCCTCGTGGCTGCCACGTGGCCGCCTCGTGGCCGCCGCCTCGTGGCCACCTCGTGCGCTGGATGGGTCCGGCGAGGTTTTGCCACGTTGCCGCCAGTGGCCGCCTCGTGGCGGCCTCATGCGCCGGTTGAGTGCGGCGAGGGTTCGCCATGTTGCCGCTCGTGGCCGCCTCGTGCGCAGGTGGGTCTGGCGAGGCTTCGCCACGTTGCCGACCGCAGCCGCATTTCTAAGCAATTGGTGCCCATACCTTGCACCACATCCCTTGCACTACATGCCTTCCACCAGATAGCGAGCGCACTGGTTACGCCACATACCTTGCAACACATAACTTCCACAGCGCAGCTTGCACCACAT